CTCCAGCCAGCAGAGAGATCCGCGTGCAGCCAATGGCTCAAGCGCTTTGGTCGTCTAGTTTCGTTGCTTACAAACCTAGTACGAGAATCACCGTCAAAGAAATCGAAGCTAACAGGGCAAAAGAGCAGGCTGTCCGGCAGGACCCACCCTCACCCGGCCGCTGTGGGGAGGGGGCTGTGCGAGAGGCCGGAGAGAAGGGCTGGGGGGGGGACTAGGTGACTGATAAATCCGAGGAATTTCAGATCTAGGGCTCCCCAAAGTGATTAACGTAGCAGAACAGCAACGGGTGGGCGTAGACAATAGTGTTTGGATTTGTTAGGTGTTTTAAGCGCGTCAAACAGCAGCTAGTCCTCGTTAGTATAGTGGTGAGTATCCCCGCCTGTCACGCGGGAGACCGGGGTTCGATTCCCCGACGGGGAGGTGACCAACTTTTTGTGCTTAGTCACCCACTTCCTATAACTTTGTTATTAGTACTCAGGACCAAATGTTATTTTCCATCTTTCTATATTATAAAAACTTAAGAATTCACCCTAGTTAGCTACCTTTAGAAGGGGATCCCAGATTCTGTGGGCGTTGCTGCTGTTTCTTCTGGAACCATGACTGGGCTGCCAATACTGAGAACAGAACAGCAGGAAATCTGCCTGACAGTTCTTCACTACCTTCCCCGGCTTCCATCACACCTACACCCAGATGCTCTAGTTAGAGAAACTTTTCAGTGTAATTCTATACCATCAAAGCCACAGTTACTTTAAAGGCTACAGGAGAATTATGTTTGAATGACACAGGATTTAGAATGCTCATTGAGCTTAATAAGAATATTGTTATCCAGTCTCTCTGCCTCTCAATTGCATGCAGAAAGAATTGCCAGGGCAAAAATCCCAGGTAGGTGTTCAAGTCCCCCATCCTTTTAGACATCAGCCCTCGAATGGTGATACTAACATGGCCCCAATGCCAGATAGGGGCTCATATGTGCTCCATCCAGCCACACTGCAACTGGTGCCACTGGCCTACAAGATGCAGATCATCTACAAGATGCAGATCAAATGTGTAGAGGAAGATGGCACATGGTCACAGACTTGCAGGAAGAGATACCCAAGTTCCAGGAGCATGTGGGAGGAATGTTGATATTGCTGCATTCAAGGTGATCTGAAGCTCCAAGCAATGTTCTCCTGAATGTATGTCTGGCTTTGGGAATTAAAGACTGAGTTTTCTGCTGTGTGGAGATTCCTCAGCCTACTAAAGATAGAGCTTCCATATGATCCAGCAATTCCACTCCTAGGTATTTACCCAAAGGACACAGAAACATTAATTCCAAAGAGCACCTGCACCCCTATGTTTATAGCAGCACTATTTACAATGGCTAAGCTTTGGAAACAACCCAAATGCCCAAAAATAGATGACTGGATCAAGAAGATGTGGTACATATACACAATGGAATATTACTCAGCAATCAAAAAAAGATAAACACATGCAATTTGCAGCAACATGGATAGAGCTGGAAGGGATCATGCTCAGCGAAATAAGCTAGAAACAAAAAGTAAAATATCGGATGGTCTCACTCATAGCAGGAATCTAGAAAACCTAAATAAGGGACCAGGGAAAAGAATAACTATAAGAAAGAAAAAATCAAAATCAACAAACAACTATGAACCAGAGACACACTATGGGGGGTGGGCGGAGAAAGGAGGGATTGGGGTCAAAATAAGGGGGTTGCAATTGTATGGGGAATATAAAAGAAAAAAGAAAAAAAAAGACTTAGTTTTCTGAAAGAAAAAAAGAATCACTATTATAAAGCCAGAGCTATCAAGACAGTGCGGCATATGCTCACAAATGCCAGTAGAAGAACCCTCCCTAACTACACCCACTTATAAGTCACTTGATTTAAGTCAAAAGTGATTCTTAACAACCAACTAGCAACAGAAAGAAAGGTGACCCCATAGTATATCAGGAAAGACTACTCTTTTTAGCAAATTAAAACTCATTTGGTGGCTCAGTGGAATAGCCATGTGGAAACAAAATAATCATAACATACACAAAACTCAATCGATTGAAATGTCTATTTAAACATAAAAGGCAAAGCAATAATGCTTTTGCAGGATAACTTAGGGTAATATCTTCATGACATGGGAGAATGCAAGAAATCTAAAATACATCACAAAAAGCAGTCACCACAAAAGAATATATGTATGTATGTGTATATATATATATCTTCCTGACATTAGCAACTTTTATTACTTGCCACTATTAATCAAATACAAGGCAGATCTTAGAGAAATTTTTGTATTACATAAGACTAACAAAAGATTTTGTCCAGATTATAGATTTAGATATGTAGTGTCGTGATTTTGTATTAGTATTTGCTAAGTGGAGCATAGGGTGCCTGATAGTGAGTCCATTCGAGATTGAACTACAGGCCACAAGAGAAACATAATGAGTACTAGCTGAACATCGAACACCCTCAGTACTAGCTGAAACTGGGCTACAGAAATGTGAACTTTTCTATAACATCTGATTTTCATTTTTTGTTTTTGCATCCTACTTCTTTACAATCTGTGTTGTTTGGCTCTCATCTCTAGCCATCTTTGGGCCAACACAGATGAAGAATGAAACAGGAAACCAAAACTTGCAAATGTCATATCATGACACACACAGCCGATAAACTGCACCGGGTCCTGATGTTTAAGAGGTGCTACCTAAGCTCATAGTCTTTTTACACCACTTTATACATTTCAGGTTTGTACCATAGAAGGAGTAGTTCCACGTGAATTCATGTTCCAAAGATGAAATCGCTGACTATTCCCTTCATTTCCTTAGCTTACACATTCCAGACTTCTTTTAGTGATTTCTGCTCTAAAATCATCCTGATTAACCCTGTCCCCACCTCCCCCAAACTCTTACAATTACCCTTCCCTAACTCCCCCATTTAAGGCACTAAGATTTTCAGGCCGGAACTCTCCTTCTTGGTTCAGTGATTTTTAATAAACCCAATTTACCAGGCTCAAAAGACTTCCTTGATGGTCCTTGTATAGGAAGCAACTTAAATTTTGTTTTTACTCTCAAACTATAAATACTCCTGCACCTTGGCAGTCAAAATCTTATCTACTTCCTGGGGTTTAACAAAACTTTCCCACTCTTAAGTTCTGGAATTTTCAGGCTGAAAGGATATAATAGTTGTGGTGCTCTTTATAAATTAATAGTTCATATGATGCTATGATAACAATCATCATTGCTCAAAAAGAGATAAAGCCTGGTTACAGTTGAATATATTCCTGACACATGGTCTGACAAAACATGTAATATACTCACAATCCAGACTAGCATCTTTGACTTATTATAGTGACAAAATTCTGAATAAGAGAGAGCTTACAGAGTCATTATTTTCCAACTCTAGCCAGCAGCAGTGAAGACACCCCCAACCTACCCCCACACCCACTCCAACTGTTTGGCCCTGGCTTACACACAAATCCAGGCAAAGTTTAAGCTTAGCCATGCCACTTACTGAGTGACGGTGATCAAGTTACTTTACTCCTATGGACCAGATTTATAAAATCTGGGTATAAAATGAGGGTTATAGTTCTACTAATTTTATGAATACTGTGAAGATCATACAAGTTAATATACACAAAGCTTTTGGAAGAGCATGTATGTAATAAGTGCTTGATAGATAGGAACTGATATTGAAATAACTTCTATGTACAAACTGCAATAGGTTTGAGTCTAGTTTTTTAAAAAAGTGTGTTCCCTATAGTATTTATGAAAAATGACTTCACAACTACATTTAAGAAAGTCCTTGATTGGCTTCTGATGGCAGGGGCTATGAGGGTGGCAAGAAGCCCCTGAAGCAGCTCAAGAAGCAGGCCAAGGAGATGGACGAGGATAGAGGAGGCCTTTAAGCAGAGACAGAAAGAGGAGCAAAAGAAACTCGAGGCACTAAAAATGAAGGCTGCAGGGAGAGGCCCCCTGGCCACAGGTGGAGTTAAGAAATCTGGCAAAAAGTAAGATGTTTCTTGTATTTGAGGCAACAAAAATACATTGTAGTTGCAAGCCTTAATTTCATTCCTGTTTCAACATCTGGATTCCCTGCCATATCCTCTTTTGCCTCCAATAGCTAAAATGAAGTGTCTGGAGAGCCTGTTGTACATTTAAAAATGAACTTTTATAGAAACGAAAGCATAGTACTGCCTCATCTTCTCTTTAGTTCTCCTTACACAGCCATTTCTACCTGAGCTGTAGGTCAGAGTAAACCCAGTCCAGAATCCTGCCAAAGTGTGTTCGTCTTGATTCTTCGCTCTGTCCTGAATTCCGTACTCTCTGGAATCAAACCAATTCACTTGAGGCCGGGGCGGGGGGGGGGGGGGGGGGGCGGGAACCAACTCTTAATCTGTAAGGGATGGTGTTGGGGTGTGGTGGAGAGGACATAGTAAAATAACCAAATAAAATATAACACAACTAAAAAAATGAAGCACCTGATCTAGATAGTGTTTTATGGTGTATGTTGGTACATTGCTTCAGTCCTCAATTTCATCATTTTTAAAATGGAGCCAATACCCTACCTGATAGGGTTGGTTAATGTTGGTGATAAATGAGATAAAGCATGTAGTGCCAATTAGTGCCTGGGACATAACAAGGGTATTTTAAAAAAGGGGTGGAGGTGGGGGATTAACTGGCAAAACAACAATAAAAGTTGGCTGTGGCTGTTGGAGTAAATACTGTTATAATTTATAACTCTCATGTTCCCTAGAGCAGAATAGCAATGAAAGCACCTCCACTCCGGAGACAGACTTTGCTACTTAGCAAATCCAAGCAGGTCATGACATGAAAAGGAAGTTGCCTCCCTCAAATCAGGATTAATATTAAATGATACTCACACGTAAAAACACCCGCAGATGTGAAGAGATTATTTGACAGAGGGGAAACAGACAAAGGGTGAACTGCGAAGATGACACTCAGACAGATGTTCCAGTCGCAGGTGACAATAGGCAGATGTTTCAGTTGCAACCGCTAAAACCGTAGCCGGCAGGATTCGAACCTGCGCGGGGAGACCCCAATGGATTTCAAGTCCATCGCCTTAACCACTCGGCCACGACTACCTGCTGCAGCAGCCTTCTTATTAACCGTTTTGAAGGTGTAGCGATCGCTACGTTGTCTAATAAGTACGTATCAAAATATCTCACTACAGTGAGAAATAGACATCGTTCTGCTGCCTTCAAAGAATTGGTTGAAACCCTGTTGAGTGGCGTGCGGGATGAGAGGGGCGGTGGAGACTTCCGTTCCCCCGGACAAGCTGAACGCTGGGAAGGTCTGCATCCCTCAGGAAAGGCTCACTCCTCTTGGCCTCCTGCCTCGAGGCCAGCCCGCAGCAGCAGTAGCCTGGGGAATAGGGAGAAGCCGCTTAAAAATTAGGTTTTACAGCGTGTGGGCATTCTCTGTCTCTCCTAACATAAAAGAGGTTGTGAATGCCAGGCTTCCTCTGGCTATATTAGTAGGATTGCCGTTTGGTTTAGAGACTTAATTCAGTGAGACACTGAAGTACTAGGTTCTTTTTATTTTTTACTGGGGAATTCAGGGACTATAATATCAGGTTCTGGGAACTGCAGTGCTTTCCCAAAGCACTGTTAAGTAGATTCAAGCAGATTTTCAGAGACAAATAGGAGAATTTCTTTCATGTCTAAGAACCTCGATCTCTCAATTACAGCTCTTCCAGGTCTGTTTTCCTCTAGGGCAGGCTAAAGGATAATTGCTCCTGTAGCTCCTGTAGCTCCTGCTCCTGCATTGTGTCACTCAATGGATAGGTTAAAGTTTTTTTTTTCTTTATGCAATTTAGGATTAAAGACGTAAGAAGAAGTCCACTGACAAAATCTTTTACAAATAAGGTATTTGGGATAAAAAGATTTTTATGTGACCCCCAAAGAAAATAAGATTCGAATATTACATTTCCATCAACTGTGTAATAGAGTTCCTTTTTCCTCATCCTCTCCAGCACTCGTTGTTGGAGACATTTTAATATGTGCCATTCTCAAATAGGTGTGAGATGCTAGCTCATTGTGGTTTAGTCCTCCATCTCTCTTATTAAGAGCCATGATGAACATTCCCCCCTCCCCCCATGTTCAGAGAGCACACTGAGGAGGCAATTCAGTTACTTCTTTATCACTCGATTAATTCACTCCCTCTGTAACCCCTCTGGGGGTCTACTTTATCTCTTAATCTTCAGAGATAGTAAGACCTTCAGAGATAGTAAGACCTTTCTTTTTCTTCTCTCCATCCCACCAAGGTCAGTTTGGCTAAATGCCAATGAACTTTAAGAAATGTAATCTGCAATTCCTAGTTTTTGCAATTTTGTCCCCCCATCTTTTTTTATCCTTTAAAACCCTTCACAAGCTGGGTAGACTCCAGCTTGTGAGACAGTTATGACTCAGAGATAACTAGGGTCTCCTTAATGGGCAAGAAAAAGTTCAAGGAATCTGGATTTAAATGACACAGGTGCTAGAAAACTCACTGACGGGGAAAAAAATGACTGTCTGAGATCTTCCTTCCATGTTTATGCCTGCTCCTTCAATACATGAAGAAGATCAGAACTTAAGGGACTCTCTCAGTGGAGAGCACAGAGTTGGCATCAAGGAGAAGCTGTAGGAGAGGCCCAGTTGCCCTGTGATGAGCCTGTTCCTCTCCTTTCTGTCTGACCTACTTGCTCTGAGTCAGGTCTCTCCATAGTGCTTTGTCAGCATTCTGCACCCCAAGAGCCTTCTGAGAACTGGTTTAACTAGTATCTGGGCTGCAGTCATGGGTGCAGCTTTGACCTAATTTATAAGACCAGATGAATGAAACTTTCAGCCACAATTAAAAGATGATTCTCACTTAGCAGCATGATACTTAATATCTACATATAGATTTTGTTTCTTATTTGTTAAAAACTAGGATGATATATATATATATATATATATATATATATATATATAGTTGAGCTTATCAAATGCAGAAGATTCTTACCCTGCAATCCATGAAAGAGTTCCATGAATATCCTGAGATATTTTACAAAATATATAATATATATTGCTGGGGGAATCTTTCTGAGGCAGGGGCTTCATAGATTTTATTCAAGATCATCTGGAATTCAGAGCCAGAAAATATATGAACTTTTACTTTGATGACGTTCTTGACATTGGAAATGGGAGGGGGAGCTTTCCTTTGGTGTTTTGTCTTTTGGGAAATGATTGAAATGGCAATGGATGAACATGAAGACTCCCATCTAATTTCCACAGACTTGTATCAGCAACTTACCTGATGTGGAATAAGCCTCATTCTTTCAGGGAACAAGATAACACTCACCATTATTCTGGGAGTGCAAGCCCAGTTGAAATCTTCTTTGTTACTTGAAGCACCCACATCGGGCTCTCGTGTTCTCAGTGATCCTAAAACAAACAACTTTGTAGTCCTGGCCTGTGCTGTGGTCTCAGTCTACCATCAAACTTTCCCTTATTCCTCTTTACTTTCCCTATGGTTCTGTTGCCCCTACTCCCAGTCCACAGACTATGCAGTAATTTTTAATCTTATTGAAAAATATGGGCCAAGGTTAAACGGCATCTTTGATCTCTGCTCCTATGCAAACATCTTAATTTTTATTCTTATTTGAAAAACATTCTCTTAGCTTCCAGTTACCTCAGTTTCCCAAACTTTGGGCATTACTAACATTATTTTAGTCAATATCCCATCACTATAACTGGGAGGTGGTGGTGACTGTGATATATGGGCATGATCTGTCATTCCAGCAGCCTCTGTTGCCCAAGTAGCAGAGCACATGGTTGCACCGGAGGCTGAGGATAATTTAACTGTGAAAAGGTTTGTTGGGATGACAGAACTGACTCCAGTTGGTGTCAGAGACTCCATCTTACTGAACTTTTAACTTAAAAAAAAAAAACAGCAACACAAAAAACCTAGAGACCAATGAGAACAGGTTTCCATCTAATCACTGGCTTCCCTGAAAATTGCAAAAAGAATGTTTTTCTTTTTCTTCTTTCCATCCCACCAAGGTCAGTTTGGCTAAATGCCAGTGAACTTTAAGAAATGTAATCTGCAATTCCTAGTTTTTGCAATTCTGTCCCCCAGCTTTTTTTATCCTTTAAAACCCTTCCTAAACAAAGACTCCCAAGGGTCTTTGCAAATCTAAGACCCAACTAAATGTCATTATTTTAACCTCGTGGTGTTTTTCTGAGTAGACATAACCTAGTCATAACGGTGGGACCTCTTCAAGCTCGAACTAGTACTTCCTCCCATATATCGGGTGTCTTTATGCAATAAAGGCAGTCTTGGCTGAATGCAGACGCTTCTCCCAGGGTCTTGTTGGGAGGGTTCATATCCTGACCTCTGCCGTTCACTCTTAGTAAAGCACATTTGCTCCTTTTCTGTCTGTTTCGACTCAGCCCTTAGGCTAGACCACGTGGGATGGGCGCGCGCCAGGGCAGCAGTGACCCGTCCTGAACGCGTCCTGTCCCCTTGGTAACAGCAGAAAATCTTTTACCGCTCGGAGATTGGGGGAGCCCAGGAGTTGCTGCCTGCGAAAGCGCCAAGTCAAAGCTTTCTCAGGGAGACTCCAGTCAGGGAACCTGCGGGGAGCACGGGCCGGCCTTTCCCGGCGCCTTTACTTTCGGTCTCCACCAGGTGGCGCCTCCTGGGAGGCAGCGGCCTCGCGGGGGTCCCCCTGCTCCCCCGGACCTTCGCCACGTTCGGCCGGGACGGGTGGGGACACTGTGTCAAATGAGGTCATCTGCAATTTATGTGTCACGAAATGAAACTTCCAGGAGTGTCCCTGGCGTTCGGGGAATGGAACGCTGCGCGGACGCTCGGGAGGCGGCCCGCCCCGCGGTTACCCCGGCAACGCCACGCCGCCGGGGGCCGAGTCGCCGGCGCGGTCGGGGCCCCCCGGATGCGCGGCGCCCCCCGGATGCGCGGCCGCGGGCGGGAGGGCCGCAGAAAGGCCTGGAGGGGGAGGAACTGGAAAGCCCCCATGTTCATGTATGTTTGGAAACCGATTGCCTCTGGATTTTGCAATGCCCCATTCGAAAGAGAAAAGGGGACGGAGAAAAGTAGGTGAATTTCGTGTTTATTTCGGGGCTGCGCGAGTTGAGAAATGGAAATATATCCTCTCAGGGAGGAGCGCTGCCGCCGCCTGTGGCTGTGGGGTTCCATGGTGTAATGGTTAGCACTCTGGACTCTGAATCCAGCGATCCGAGTTCAAATCTCGGTGGAACCTAAGGTTTTTCTTTTTCTTCTCGTTTTCCTTGAAGTTTCCTCTGTAGGGATGGTTGGCAGAGGATCCCTATTCACATGAAGTCAGTGAGCTCTAGACGGGAAGACCACACGGACGCTACTAAACTCCCTGCTCGATGTTCAGAGCAGGTGGCCATCCCTCCTCCCAACTCCTGTCTTCACCCATCAAATGGATATTTTGTGACTCCAGTACTTTAGCATCGTCAAATCTCATCTGCCTAAAAATTCCAGATATATATTTTATGCTTTGATTTTATCTCTGTCGTTATACTGTCAGTCTTAAGCAGTTCCATCAAGCTTGGTGGACTACTTAATTTGCTTGTTGATGGAGTATCCCACCTTGTGGACTCATCACCCAAGGGCAGGGGTCATCCTGTTTGCCTGGTTACTTTGTGTTACTATACCCTACTCAACAAGACTAACTCCATGTATCAATGAAGTTTTATAACACAAAAACCAGTGAAAGAGACTCTTTAACCAAAGTAGGTCCATTGCCTGATGAATAGCATTCTGTTTTCTGAATACAGCCATTGAGCTAAAAAAAATTTTTTTTACAGTTTATTTCCCCACTGTTGGTTTTTATTTGCTTGTTTTATGATTTCTGTCCACATAAGCTGTACTAAGCAATTTTACCCCCAATATCTTCCAACATGTTAAAATCTGCATCTTGGACACCAGGCAGCTTTATTCACCATATTTCAAGGGAAGGAACAAAGAGACAGACAGAAGCAAATACTTCTATTTAAAATGGCATCAAAAATAAAATATTCAGGAATAAATTTTACAAGAAAGAACAAAACTTACATTCCAAAAGCTACAAAACATTGTTGAAGTCTTTGAAACTTTAAATGGATGGAAAACCATCTCATTTATGAATTGCCACTTATTAGTGTTAAGAAGACAGTTCTCCCCCAGTTGAGCTACAGATTCAACACAATCGCGATCAGAATTGTAGCTGATTTCTTTATAAAAATTGGTGAGTTGATTCTCAAGTTCAAATAGAATTTCAAGAGACCCAGAGTAGTCAAAACAATCTTGGGGGGAAAAAAAGAGGATTCACCTTTCCTGAGTACAAAACTACAAAGTAATGATAAGACAGTGTAGTACTAGCATAGGATAAGCATATAGATCAATTGAATAGAATTGAGAGTCCAGAAATAAAACTGTAGACTGATCTTTGATCAGTGCCAAAACAGTAGTCTTTTCAACAAATGGTGCTGGGGAAACATGCAAAAGAATGGAGTTGGGCTCTTGCCTCGTACTATTTACACACGTTAACTCAAGTGGATCAAAGACATAATGTAAATTCAATTAGAAACTCTGAACAGTAAGATGAATTTTTTAAAAGTTAATGCTTTTTAAAAAGTTTAACCTTTTTTAAATTCAGTCCTAGTGCTCGTAATAGATTTTCAGCATCATTTTAATGCAATAGGACACTACAGAAACACCAGTATAGGTCCTACCAGTTAAGACAAATGTTCCTCTCATTCCTATTATCAGCCACAGGATCTCCCAATAAATGTAAGTCCCAAATTTTATTTTAAAAATGTATGGCCATTACCAGTTTTTCAAATTGTCACTGTACTCATAATTGTGCAGCGCCTGTTAGAGCTTATACCAGTTGTGGGGTGTATCTCATGGATTCCCCATCAAAGCTGCCCCCACAGAGCAGAGCACTGGGTTTAGGGGATGGCTTCTGCTCAGTCCCCTGCCTTCAGAAGGAGGGTCCCTCCAGTCTGAGGAGGAAGTGGTACTTGCCACAACAGCATGGTATTCACAGCAATGATGTCAAACGATGAGAAACATTAATGGCAAACGCACATTCTCGAAGAAACTTGGGCTTCTGGCAGAGAGCACAAGTTCAGACAGTTACCAGCATAGACGGAATGTTCCCCTTCCATGTAGTCGTGGCCGAGTGGTTAAGGCGATGGACTAGAAATCCATTGGGGTCTCCCCGCGCAGGTTCGAATCCTGCCGACTACGGTGCCTCTACTTTTGACGCAAGACCAGTTTCACTCTCTGCTTGCTTCCCACAAACAGCGACAGATTTTTTTTTCTTTTTATTCCATCAAAGCCCCTAATTGTGCTTACTTTTCCCTCAGGAAGAGGCCAGGTTTTGCTGAAGCCTTCCTCTTTCCTTTAACGCCTGCTTTGTTGTAAACCAATGTCATCTCTAAAACAAAAACAGAAACAAAAAAACTTGCTTTGAAGGTGGACTTTCCTAAATAAAATAAGTTGGTATCAGTGTTTGCATCTCTAAGGAACTGCACCCTTATTAGAACTTTGTCCAGTCATGTGAAGTAGGCAAGGAAAATAAAACCATAAACAAGACACACTGTGGACCGTGGACCGTGCCACAAAAACCAGGGTTAAAGCAATTGCAACAGACAATGTAAATTCGGGACATGGAACCACAGTCATCTTGCTATTGGAAGAGAAGCTGTACAGCAGCAGTACGTTTCCAGTAGGAATGTATGTGGGCAATAGGTATAACTTAATTTTTTTCTAGTAGCCAAATTAAAAAAATTTAAAAAGACAAGTGTAATTAATTTTAATAATATATGTTATTTCACCCAAAAGATCATTTCAACATGTAAGCTATTTGGAAAATTTTACATTTTTTTAAATATAAACACTCAAGCTCTGGTGTATAATCTACACCTTTGGGGACCAAGTGCTCAATATAGACAGACATGTGTGGCAGGTGGCTGAAGTATGGGATCGCAGATCTAGAGTGTGTAGGGAGCATAGTTGGTAGAAGATTGCCATCTAAGGGCAAGTCTACACTGCAACAGACAGTGACAGCTCAAGATGCAAGTCTCCTTAGTGTGCACTTCGCGGCGCTTTCGGGACTTGCCGCGGTAACCCCGTAGCGACCCTCGCTCTTTCTGCGCGCCCCGCTTTAACTCCTTCAAGTCTTCCGCAAAAGCCGGGCGAGCTCTGCGCGCCGCGCCGCCCCAGCGCGCTGGACAGCTCCTGCCGGGGCCCAGAGCGGCTCCTGCGCCTGCACGGGGGCCACCGCCAGGACCATCTCTAGGAAGAGAGAGACCAGGAAGCCCGTGAGCTTCCTTCACTCCTCAGTCTCTCTTTTTCACTGGTTTCACAAGGGGGAATTGTTCCTCTCTGATTGGTTCAGTTGCTGTCCTTAAAGGAACAGCTTTAAGGTTGGGTTGCTCAATTGTCAAAAAAAAAAAAAAAAAAAAAAAAAAAAGCTTAACTTCCCCAGAGCTGGAAACTCACTCCCAGGCTCTTCATCTGCTGTAATCCTGTGCATCCTTACTGACTTCCCTCCCTTATCTTCTACTTTGAAAGGACTTCAAGTTCATCCTTCATTCCCTGGCTCCTATATCCCTTATACTGTCTTTCCATAATACTGTTTAAGAAAATGCAGCAGTACCATTAATGCTCCCATGTCTCTCTGTAGCTGTATCTCATGTTTTTCCATATTTATGATTCATCCTGCCTGCTAACTAGCAGGTGATTTTTTTTTTTTTTAAGAAACAGGCTATTTAAATCACATCTTAATCTTCAAGTCTCAGGTGTTCACTTTAAGTGATATAAACAAATGTACTATAAACTAACCCCATTTATGAATCTAACTGGCATTGTGTCCTCTACTAAATAGGAGCTTTCTAATGCCTGTTCTTTGATCTCTTTTGCCTTCTTGGCACCATCTAAAAATCTCAAAATAGATGATCAATTAAACCATTGCTTTCCTTATATTTTACAAGACTCTGATATTTCTTTCATTAGCTCTGTCAGTCTTTCAGAAGCAACAGACCATTCTAAATAAAGTACTATTTATGAGACATCTATGACTCTGAAATGTAAAATGCCACCTCTAAGTGGCAATTGCAGTAAACTCTCAGTGAAAAACACAGGATTCAGAATACTCATGAAGACTCAGAAGAACTAATGACACCTAGCACCTGTCTCCCTTTTACATGCTTCCTCCTCCAACAAGAAAGAAGAATATTACAAATCAAGGTTTCTTCTCAGTGGTGATCTTAGAGAAAGGTTTGAAAATGAGATGAAGTAGACGTTCCAATCAACTCTGATAAGAAAGAATCAGGGTTCCATTCAGTGTGCTGGACCTCATCCTAATATCCCCAAAATATACTGTGGGGAAGTCACATGTCATGAGCTCTCTGAGAAAGGAGAGAGAAGGTGCAAGAACTGGTTAGACTAGGAGTTTAGCTTCAAGCTTGGGGATACTTCTGGATTCCTAATTAAGGTCAATGACTCACATGGCCATCTTCCAAAGATGATATTTCCATAGCAACTTTGTACTTAATTATAGTTTAGTGATGGTAACACTTATTAAAGTGAGGTTATGTGACATAAAGGAGGTTCTTTAAGTGCAGAGTCTCAATCTCATGTCCATGGGCTCCAGTAGAATTTGTGAAATTCCTGCTGTGGTTTCTTTCTTAAAAAAAAAAAAATAACGATTTATTTATTTATGCATACAAGAGCTGGGGCACAGGCCAGAGATGTGGGTGACGGGAGGTGAGAGGATTCACCAGAGACAGAGAAGGGAGTAGAAAAGGCAGACAGACTAAAATACACTGCTGAGGGGAGCAGCAAGCAAGACAAAAGAGGTGTGCCTCATCTTGTGGGTTGCTCCCTGGCTGGCCGGGGATCAAACTCATGCGGCAGAGGCTGTAGACTGCTTCATAGTGCGGTGCTATAGTTTCTACAATTGTTCATTTTGTGTCAGAGGCATCTCAATGTGAGAAGGTGAAAATTTTACATACCATGGGATTTGAGCTCCCCAAATAAGGCAAAAATCTTTCTTAATAACTTCATAACCATTGAATAAGAAGAACTTGCTAGCTCTATTTGGTTGTTTTGGGAAACATAAAATGACTGAAAAGACATGTGGACCCTAAGCATGTTCCTTTTAACTGTTGTAATAGGTTATTAATGTTGACACGAATCTAACATCTGTCTTCCCTGTAATAGTCACACTCACCACTATACCAGGGAAGAAAGCTTTATTGGAAATCACTGTATTCACAGACAAAACAGGTACATGTCCACCTAGTGCAGTTAATTTTCACTCTCTTTTCATAGGTAACAAACCATGTACACTGTGTCTTGGTTATTTTTTCCATTAGAAGTGTATTTTATCACAGTATGTAGATGGGTATCTCATTCAATTTGTTAACTGTAGAGCCACCCTCTGTGAATCTTCCAAAACTGAAGTCAAAAGTCCATGACTCTTAGATTTTAATGACTGCTATTACACATAATCTGTAGTGACTATTAAAGTTCTTTCCAGCTTCAGGATGTATCTCATGGATCCTCATCAGAGGCTGGCAGAGCAGAAGCAGATCTTGTTCGAAAATTTCTGACTGAGTATAAGGTCTTACCAATCTGGTGCAACAGCATAGTCCTCTGAATGACATCAGGAATAGGAAACACTGATTACAAACACCCTTTCTAGGATGTCATCAGATTTTATAAGGGAAACTAAATTTCAGCCCTGCTATTTTAGTTTTAAAAGGCTCCACCTTGCTGTGTAGTCGTGGCCGAGTGGTTAAGGCGATGGACTAGAAATCCATTGGGGTTTCCCCGCGCAGGTTCGAATCCTGCCGACTTCGGGTTAGTTGGGATGTTTTGATTCCCCCAACAACTTGGTTGGAAATCGGATTTGCAAATCCAAAGCCAACCAAGATGTAAGCTGTGGTACCTAAAATCTACCCACTTATAGTCATGGCTTTAACTCACCTGCGGCTCTATCCTTGGGGAGAACTGAAGGTACTGTATTGTCCAACACAGTTAAGCCTGACTTGACTCTGAATGTGGTTTGTTTCTCTCTAGGAAGAGTACAGACTCACCTTGATGTTTCCAGCAATCAAAGTCCTTTTGCTTCTCAGTGGAATTGTTAGCTTTCCAGGGGGTTATTTTCTTGCACACCAATTGTTTTTCTTCTATCCCCCAACACTCCATTTCATCTGATTGTCGTTCGTACTTCATTCTCCATTTTAGTCTCCTGGTCATAATGGCAGATGTGTGACCTCACAACTGGGACATTGGTGAAGATATAGAGGGCAAAGAGACACAGGAAAAATAGTCAACATCACTAACCGGAGAGAAATATAAAATAACAACACAATAATAAAACTACCTCATTACCTAGCAAAACGATAAAGTAAAAAATGGTGACAATCTAAATTCTGGTGAGGATGTGGGACAACTGGATCACCCACACACTCACTGATAGTGTGATAGAGTGGGAACTTAAAATGGTAAGTGGAGAATTAAAAGTACTGTATTGTCATTATCACTGTGAAAAACAGTTTGACAATTTCTTATAAAAATTAAACATGAAGGCCTCCCCTGGTGGCACAGCAGTTGAGTGAAGGGCTGCAAAGCTGTCTGCAGCCTCTGCAGCGCCAGTTCGATCCCCGGCCACCAGCGAGGGTCCCACATGGCGTGCAGACCTCTCCTGCCGTGCCCGATGCTCCCCTTAGGAGTGTGTTTTGTCAGTCTGCATGTTCTGCTCCCCACTCTAGCTCTGGTGAATTCTCTCACCCTCCCACGCTTCTGACTATACCCAGTACTTGTATTAATAAATAAATAAATATTTTTTAAAAATTAAATATAAATTACCATGCAATCTAGTCATTGTCATCTTTGGTATTTTTTCCAGAGAAATAGAAGCTTATGTACCCACAAAAACCTGCACATGATTTTCACAGCATCTTACCTTGTAATAATAGACCCCAGCTATAAACAATTCAGATAACAAGGTGAATCAGTATCTCCATAGCATGAAATTCAACTCAGCAGCAAAAAGAAATGGACTATGGACAGTTGCAACTATTTGGAAGAATCTCCAGGGATTGATGCTGAATAGCCAACCTCAAAAAACTATATTTTTATGACCTTATTTATAACAGCATTCTGGAAATGACTAAATATGAGACATGAAGAACCAGTTCCTGGTGTTCTGGTGTTAGGGAGAGAGAGTTGGAAAGATGTGGGTTATGTTTATTAAAAGGGTAACAGGAGTGATTCTTGGTGTGATGAAATTGTTCTGTGTCCAGCCTGTGGTGGTGGATGCATGGACCTACACCTGTGATAAAATTGCATAGAGCTAAAGTCCACCCTACACACAAAGGAGTAAAAGGAAAATGCTATAAATAAGAATAAGGTGGTATCATTGGATTCTATTAATGTCAATGTCAGTATGATCTTGGTTCTGCTCTTGCCAAGGTCTTAGTCAAACCAGTTCTTTGAGTTTCTCTTTTCTCAGAGGGCTTCATGGGAATGGGCTTCTCATTCTATACTTTGGGGACACTAGAATGAGGCATGTGAGCCCAGCCAAACAAAGGGGTACCTAGTTGGCTAGAAGGCAATTGAAAACTCTCCTCAGCTCAGTTTCAACTCTACTCTGAGATCTCCACCAAGATGTCCTGGATTTATGACATCTCATGTGAGAAGAATGAAACATTGAGGGGAGCAAAGAAATCCTGTCTATTAACTCTTATGAGCATTCCAAATCCTGCTGTAATTTAAGATTTTTCCCCACTGAATATCCTTTTCTTTGTTGTAACTGCCATTTAGAGATACTGGCCATCATAGGTATCTCGAGAATAGCATTTTATTTAGATGTCTTCTTCCTTTGGAAGACAAAGAGATGCAGGAAAAAGGAGTCAAAGATTCCTAAAATATATGACAAAATTTACAAAACTACAAAATAGAGTGATAGTCACATTCATAGTTTAAATTTTAACACAATATGATCCTTTGTGAAAAATGAGGGAAAAACAAAATATAAAAATTTCAAAGAATATAATTCGAAATTTGACATTGCTTATACAGAGATAACAATACAGCTTTCAGCTTCTGAAGACAAGCCAAGCACATATTAAACCTTTAAAAAAAATAAAAACCAGACATTTTGTTTTGATGGCTATAAAGTAAATTCTCAGAATTTTAACAGTTTTAAGAGATAAATTGTAGTGTCTCGCCACAATACAATTCGGTGTATATCAATTAAAAGTGGAAAACTATGATATGGTTGCACGATAAGAAATGTGCATGAGATTTACAGGAGACATCTAGATGGGATGTTTGAACCATGCATATTGAAAAGAATGACATTGAAAAAATTCATGTGAAAATATATTTTGTGCTGCCCAAGATGCACCTATGTGGACATTTAAACTCTTACTGCTTGTGCCAAAGTAAAATAAAAGCTGAACAGGATTGATTTAATGATACATTGGAAGAAATTAGAATCATCAAACATTACTAAAGAAATCCTAGGGAAGGAAATAATGGAGAAATAGTCGATTTAGTGCATAAAAAAGAAACACAAAACGGAGATGATCTATAAAACTGAAATTTTATCTGAAAAAAAAAGTGCTAAATTGATAAGAAGGCATCATAACTAACTAACCAGAAATGGGTGAAGAGAATGTCATGTTTAACAGATTTTTTAAAAAGGCAGAATAGGAAGAGAGATGAGGACAATTAGCTGTGAAGACAGTGATGCAACAAATTCTCCTAGGAATTCCTAGGCAGATCCTCACCTGTGGCTAACATAACATATATGTGTGGTTGATACATGAACGATACTTGTTAATCACCCAACGCGATTTTCTTCCTGAACTGGAGCTGGCTCAGTGCTCAGAATAAATAAAAAACATCATCTAACTTTTCGTTGCTCCCTTCACCACAAACCTGGACTCCCCGACAAGCCAGCCCCACCTGACGTCATCGTCCCTTTTTTATTACATTACAAAGATAATGGCTTTACTTAATTTCTTTGTTTAGTGATTTGCCCACTAATATCTAGTTTGGATTCTGGCGTGATTACCATTAGCTATGAGTGCTTTCACTTGTCTTTGATCAAGGATTTCTGTAAATTCCCTTTCCTGCATGAACAAGGACATGCAGTATTTTGAGAGAGACCTGCTCAGGGTGTAATTCCTTGGAGAGGAAACACTTCCCACCTTTTTTCTTTAAGAAAGGCTGCCTTCAAGGTGGGGATTTGATTTCAGGGAAGAGGAAGATATCAACATAACGTGGTGTCTTCCGGGGGGAGAGGGGAATGTGAGCACCCTGGGACTGCCTGGGATGGAATAACTTTTCTAAAGTATAAATAATCTATCGCTATATAGGGAAGCAGGCAGAGGAATTCCAAGTGGTGAGCAGTGGCGCTTGCTCCCAGACGGCAAGAGCAGAGGGTGAAACTGGTTTTGCGACAACAGATGGGTGGGTTTTGCAAAAGCAGAGCACCTCTCCGTAGTCGGCAGGATTCGAACCTGCGCGGGGACACCCCAATGGATTTCTAGTCCATCGCCTTAACCACTCGGCCACGACTACATGGAAAGGGAACACCCCGTCGATGGTAGTAACTGTCTGAACTTGGGCTCTCTGCCAGAGGCCCAATTTTCTTCCAAAAAGTGAGTTTGCCATTAATGTTACTCATCATTCCACATCATTGCTGTGAATACCATGCGGTTGTGGCAAGTACCACTTGCTCCTCCTACTGGGGGGACCCTCCTTCTGAAGGCAGGGGACTGAGCAGAAGCCATGCCCTAAACCCAGTGCTCAGCTCTGTAGGGGCAGCTCTGATGGGCACCCACGAGATACACCCCACAACTGGTACAAGCTCTAACAGGCACGGCACACTTAGGAGTATAGTATAAAGACGACTTAAAAAAAACTGGTAATGACCATTAATCTTTAAAGTAAAATTTGAATCAGAATCGAAGGTCCTACGGCTGACAGAACAAACTCCATGCTTTGGACCACATGGTTAAATGTGAACACTACTATTTTCACTCTGAAATATGTCAAATCTAGATATTTTTAAAATACGATGAGTCTAATAGGACCTTTTAGCCAACTAATTGAAGATTTAACAGTTTCCAACCAATTTAATATTGTTTTCTGTGTGTGTCTGGCTGTCTTTATTATATATATAGTCTATCATTCTCAATGTATATAGAATCAGTCTTCTATGTGCATAAACTCTAGTCTCTTATTATATACGTACTGGGGAGGGATGCAGAAACTGAGCAGCTAGCAGTCACAGGTAGAAGAGAAATTTGCTATTTACTGTAGAGTCTCCAATACCATGAGACTATTTAATTCTCATGTTTGAACTATTGAACAATTTCAGACATTCTTTTTAATGTGCACAGAAAAGCTATGTGAGTGGATTATTGCTTCTCCTTAGAGTTGGGTTTTGAATTGCATAATGCAGGGTTTGGGGTGATTTCCTCCTGTGTTTTCTCTAGATGCTTCTTTCCTTACAAATTGTTCTAAATCAGAGGAGCCTCCTCTTTGTGCTCCTTATCCAGAGGCAGGTGTGTCAGGACTTTCAGCAATTCACAGGCCATATAAGGGGGGGTTTCCAACATTTAGGTGGACAGTGTTTTCCCTGAGAAAAAGGACAGGGAGACACGGGTGTCACCCAGGTTCCACCGAGACTTGAACTCGGATCGCTGGATTCAGAGTCCAGAGTGCTGACCATTACACCATGGAACCGCATGCACGTGCACACCCCAAAATGGTCCAGGATGCTCCCGGATGGGTCACAGCGACTAAGCCATTGGTCCAAATTATCTGTCAAGAATCTTACCAATGCGCATGAAGACTTCCTTTCAAAGAAAATCCTGAGGGAATTCTATTCCTAGCCAAGTACAAAAGCCCTTAAAGTCTCCCCGCCCCCAAGGGACTCAAAAACTTGCAGGTCCTCCTCCTTGCATTCTTCATTAAGAAAAACTGAGTGAGCCCTCACCCCACCTGCACTGGACCGAACGCCTCATAGTCATAAAATTCAAGCCCAAGAACTCGGCGAAATGGGTATTTTTAATCTCTATGTAGACGTGGAAACTGAGACTTAGAGATTTCATATCTTTATCTGCAACACCGCTCAATCCATTTCAGTCACAGGCTATTTTTCTCCATATCGATTATTTAGTTTTCGGGGAGACGCGCTCCCAGCTGTTCCGCGGAGGCCTTCTTCGACGTGGCGCGTTTCAGGAAAGAATAGGGTTTTCTAGGGCCGGCTGGGTGGGGTCTCGGGGGCGGCTCCCTCACCGGTGCAGTCCAGCCCAGGTCTCCTTGGGCTCGCCTGGCTGTGTCTACATTCTGGGGCCCTCCTCAGGCCCCAGCAGCACGTTTCCGAGAAGCTTTCAACAGAACTGCAGCGGAGGTGTGCCTGGGAATTTGTGTCAGAATCCGGGGTGCAGGCTGCCTCTTAGGGGTCCCTCTACGATTGCAAGGCCTTCTAATCCAACAGGTTGAGCTCTTAGAATGAGGGGGCGCCGTGACTATCCAGGGAAACATGCACCCGTCCTCGGGACTGTCCTGGAGTGCAGCCGGCAGGGCCTGGCGTTGGCAGAGGCGGCGTCCCACATCCTGAGTCCCAGGTCCGCCGCTGCAGCCGGGCCTCTCGCCACGCGGGGACAGCAACAGGATGCAGCTCCCCTGCCAGTCGGAATGAACAACATTGCAAAGGGAAGCCGGACAGAAAACACCACTTAACAAACCACTCCAGGAAATTCACAAACTTGTTGAAGACTCTGTGCCCCGGACTAGGAATTTCTTAGTGAAAAATGAAACCGACCAAGTGAAAACAAGCATCAGGCTAATTTTTAAAAATCCCCTTTAAATTGAGGCTGCCTGATCCCTTCACCTCAGTATTGTAAATTAAGAAACCAAGGTGCACCCACAACTTACAGCTGAGATTCTTGTTAAATCAGTTCTGGTTCCACAGCTGAGATTCTTGTTAAACCAGTTCTGGTTCGGGTTGTGGATTCCTGATGATGAAGTTTTGGGAGACCCCAATTAGACTTTATCTAGGTCAAGTCAAGTGGTGGAGCAGGCTCCTTTGAAGCACAAGTACACCAGAATCTTGTTGTAAATTCTGAACCTTTACCCAGAGTTTTCCACAAAAGAAATAATATTTTCCATATTTTCCTTCATTTTTTTTTTTTTTTTGGTGGGACCCTCGCTGGTGCCGGAACTGGCGCCTCGCAACCCAGTGCTCAACAACTGTGCCACTAGGGGAGGCCCCATTTTCCTTCATTTTTTTTGAGCAATGAAACATGAAAGAATATTTGTCAGTACATCTACTCATACACAAAGTACATTTGCTTTGTGTGTGTGTGTGTGTGTGTATATATATATATATATATATATATATATATCACTACATACTGCAAAATGGACCAAAAGGATAGAGACATTCAACTTAAGTAGATATATGGAAGGCAAAAAAGCAAAAGTATTTCCATCATTAGTCTCTAGGTAAATACAAATTATGATTCACAATGAAATATAAACATGCTTATTAGGTGAATTTAAAAAAAAAAACAAAGACAACACCTCCCCACAGGTCTCTCCCCACATCTGTTTCTACCAGTTCATGACCAAAAGGAAGTGCAGTTTTTTCAGGTGTCTCTTGGCTCCATGTGCCAGACTCCAAAAACAACAAGAATACTATAAACAAGACACTTGCTGCAGATTGTTTTCCCTTTATTATTAAGAAAGTGCCTTTCTCATTTTGATTTTTACTTTAAAAATCATGTATCTAGCCAAATGATTTTTTAAGCAAAGGTACAAAAGCAAATGCTGGTGAGAATTTGGAAAAATGGAATCATTGCTGGTGGGAAGGTAAAATGGCACCATCACTCTGGAAGACTGGTAGTTTCTTGTAACATGAAATTATTATGTGACTCAGCAATTGTAGTACCAATTTTCAGTTTTCTCTACAATAGTTTACCAGTGTTCTCCATAACACAGCAAACTTTTGTTGTCAAGAATCTGAGAAATTTTTCACTTAACCTCAAATCTCAAAGATCATCTGTGATGTTTTCTTCTCAAAATTCTAGTTGTACATTTAAATCTATGATCCATTTTGAAGGTTTGTTTAAGCCTGAGACTCAAGATTCATTTTTGCCTATATCCAATTGCTTCCATATCATTTGTTGAAAAGACTATTCTTCCTCCATTGAATTGCTTTTGTACCTTTGCTTAAAAAATCATTTGGCTAGATACATGCATGATTTTTAAAGTAAAAATCAAAATGAGAAGGGCACTTTCTTAATAAAAAAGGGAAAACAATCTGCAGCAAGTGTCTTGTTTATAGTATTCTTGTTGTTTTTGGAGTCTGGCACATGTAGCCAAGAGAAATGTGAAGAAACTGCACTTCCTTTTGGTCATGAACTGGTAGAAACAGATGTGGGAGAGAGACCTGTGGGGAGGTGACAATAGCGGTTTTTGCCTTGATTTTGCTCTTTTCCTTCCAGACTTGTCTGGTTGTTTCTGATCCTTTTCAATGGGTTTCCACTGGAAGATGCTTTAGACTTGTGACAGCCTTATTCTGGACCAATATTCTGGGCCTTATTCTGGGCCAATCCTGCTTGGGTGGACTTTCACCTACAAGGGGACAGGTTACTTCGGGTGCTTCATTTAAAAACTATTCTTTGGGCCTTCCTGGTGGCACAAGGGGTTAAGCACTGCACTGCAAGGTAATCCACTGCCTCTGGAACATGGGTTCCATCCCCAGGCAGCCAGGGAGAAACGCACATGGTGAGGCAGACCTCTCCTGTCTCACCCGTTGCTCCCCTCAGCAGTGTATTTCGGTCAATCTGCTTGTTCTGTTCTCCACTCTGTCTCTGGTGGATCCTCTCACCCCGCACATCTCTGGCCTGTACCCCAGCTCTTCTGTGCATAAATAAATTAATCTTTAAAAAAAATAAAAGGTATATTCTTTGCCTTTCCTGTATTGTTTCCTAATTGTATTAAAGTTTCTTCCCCTTAAAGGCTCATACCTTTTGTATTGATGCAGTGGATGGCAGAACCTATTTACAGCAGTCAGGTTTGCAGGGTCTGGGGTGTCCCCTCCTGTCCTGTAACAAAGTCAGTGAAATATTGTTAGTACAAGAGGCATGTAGATCAATCAAATGGAAAAGTGAAGAAATAAATGTACACAAATATGGTCAACGATGTTTGACAGGCACACACAAAAAAGAGAAATGGTAGGCTTTTCAATAAGTGGGACATTTGGCTATCCATAGTCAAAGAAGAAGACAGGCAGGAGAGAAAGAGAGAAGTTTGGATGTAAACTTTACAATGTACACCAAAATTAAGAAAAAATTGACCATAGATCAAGTGTGAACATAAAACTTTTAGGAAAAAAACTAATAAAAAAATAGACATGACCTTGGTTTTAGTGAAGAGTTTAGAGTTTTTAGTGAAGAGTTTAAAACCAATAAGTAAACTGGACTTCATAAAAATTTAAAGTATACACCTGTGAAGAGAAACTAAAGTTTGGCAGAAAATATTTGCAAATTCTATATCTGACAGAGGACTTGTATCTGTATTTATAGAGAATCCTCAAACTCAGCAATGAGAAAATAAACAACCCAATAAAAAATAAACAAAAGACACCAATAGACACTTCACCAAAAGGAATATGATTACGGAAAATAAGCAAGCAAATGAAATTCAAAATGCAAATTAAAATGACAATGAGCCACCTAAACACACCTATTAAAATGGTTAAAATTAAATATACTGACAATATCATTGTCTGCTGAGGATGAGGGGCAATTGAAAATCTCTTGTTGGTTGTGGAAAATTTTAACAAGTTCTTACACAGTTAAACATACAATTGCCACATGACCTGAGAATCTAACTTGTAGGAATCCAAATAAATGAAAATGTATATACACTGATGTTTATGGCCGTTTTTTTCTACATTTGCCAAAAACTGGAAACAATTCATATGTCCTGCAATGAATGGTTGAAAAAATACCGTAATACATTCTTACAATAGAATTCTATTAGACAACAAAAATGAATGAAATTTTTAATTTTAAGGCCTGTTCTATATCCAGTGATCTCAACAAATTACATACTGGATCATCCAATTTCTATGAAATTCTCAGAAAGGTCGAACTATAAGGGAAAAAAGGTATCTGTGGTTGTCAGGTGTAAAGTGTAGGGTTAGGAGGCCCTATAAAGGGATAACAGTAGGGGGGCTGCAGGAACACTTGTCTCAGCTTTGAAAGGGTCAGTTTTACTCTGATGGATTTTTTAAGGTAAAGCTAGCTTCCACCTTGTGCCACAGACTATTCTCTACAAATTCCTTAAGGAACATTTCATCAAATTACCCTTTTATCAAGGTTTTTCTTTTTTCCTTTTTAAAATTGGCTACTTTGAGCAGGGTTTTGCGGGGACAAAACTGGAGACATCATTGACCCTTGAACATGGCCGGGCCGGTGGGGTGTGGAGTCGCGACTTTTTAAGGAAACCATCGACCTTTTTATTTTGGTGCAGCAATTCGGGCAACAGTGACAGTTTTGCCGAGTTGTGTCTGGGCTCGACATGACGAACGAGAAACAAACACCTTTCTTCAAGTGACAGTCCGTTTCTCGGTGAGACTAGGCTTGTGACCAGGGTAAAACTTCACACGTAGTCGGCAGGATTCGAACCTGCGCGGGGAGACCCCAATGGATTTCTAGTCCATCGCCTTAACCACTCGGCCACGACTACTGACACCTTCCACATGTTCCCTGCATTATAGAGAAACACGGTCGCTGTAACAATATGTGTCAACAGAGTGTTGAGTAAACTGCACAAAATTTTTCGGGGGGCTTGAGGGCTTGGGGAGGGTGGTGACACTCTCCGGGAGCCACCCCACCCCCGGACTTCTGGAACAGGAGGACGGATGGGAGCTCTCACGTGCAAGCATCTTCGGGTCCAACGACGTTCAGTTCATCCACGTGCAAATGAATCGGGTTCCTGTTGGCTGCTGGAGCTTCCGAAAATGGAACCAAATGGACTCAGCACCGAGAGGGCATCAGGGTAAGCCAAGTTTTTCACCTGGAATGGACCGACGCTTCCTGCAGGATTTCAGGGCAGGAAGGGCTCCTGTTGATTTGTTGGACGGTGGAGGGAGAGCAAAACGATGCTGGAAATTCCGCCTGGATCCCCGCGCCTGCTGTCCCGAGGTGTCCAGGCACACGCGTGAAGTTTTCGTCTCACTGTATTTCAGAAGGTGCTTGGCACATGCCAACTGCGCCTTCAATTCCTCACGGGTTAGGAAGAAGCGGGCCGTTATAGCCAGTCTGCCAGTTTTATTTCCGTGAGAGAGGAATTGTTTTCTGAAAATGGATACCTGGTTAAAAACTTTTTTTGCCAATGCCAGGGCTCATTTTCTCTAACTTTAACTAATCCAGCACGTTTTCCATTCTCCTCTTTAAGTTTGTGACTCACTGGTTCCTTCAGCAGAATTTCCAGATGTTCTGTAGAAATGGTGCAAGACTAAATGGTTAAATGTGGAAGACAGAACCTGAGACGCATAGGCAGGTCCCCATTTTACAGTGGGCAAGAGATGAGAGTGAATGAAACTTGATTTCGCTTGAGAAAGGTGGGGCAGTTGCTTGGGTTTAATACATACTACGCTTAACCAGAAATAACCAAATTTCTTTAATTTAATTCACATATGTCCAAGAAAGCCTTGTCCAGAGGGAGGAAAACTAGATCTAATTAAAGACAGAATAATTTCTTTTTACCTATATCCAGAAAAGATCAGCTGAACCATGACTGATACATGGTAGACAACTGTCATGGAAAGATAGAGCACACCTCTCAGCCTGACTTCAAGGATTCAGAGTATTGCTATGAGTTTCTCCATTGGCAATCTTTTTTTTTTTAATTCATTTTATTTTCTACATATTTTTTACATCATTCATTTTTTTTACACCATATACTTTCTCATCTCAGAGTTGAAGATAAAGAAGCATAATTGCCAGAGAACAATCATAGCAGCCCTCAGGTGTATCTCCTTGCCTCCCCACTCTCCATGGTATTTTGAATGCAAAAAAAGAAAGTTATGAATAGCTGGAAAGTCATACAGAACATAAATTGTAATATCTTTCAGACAAAAACTACCTAACACACATTTGTCAGTGAACAAGCTAGGTCGAATACTAAGAGAAATGGAGAACTCAACATCCCAGTAAGAAGATATTCAAAAGGGCTTGTAGGTAAAAATCAAAATCAACAAGCACCTACAAACCAGATACATTCTACGGAGGGGCAGGTGGGGGCAGTGAAAGGAGTAGGATCAAAACAAGGGGTGTGGGAATTGTATGGGGATTATAACCAGGATGAAAATGCATACATTGTGCAAAAATGAAAAATGATGTAAAAATATATAAAATAAAATTTAAAAGTTTAAAATAAAAGGGGGGCTTGTAGAATCAATCTTGTGTTAAGTAATGTGAGAGAAGATTTAAAAAGCAGGGTTTTATACTGGGTAGGAGACTGTCTAGAAGCAGGGGGAATTTCGGTGATTGCATAGTTTAATATATCCTACCCTAGAGGAAGGAAGAATGGAGCAATGCAAAAACTATGATTCAGAAAGAAGTCATACTCGCATTTGCCAAGATAAAGGGGCTTGGGGTCATCTTTGAGATTTCCTCTCTTTCCTCCTATAGTTCATCGGTTCACGACTGGGCATCTGTTCTGCCTGGACAAACCTGGGACTCTCCTGCACTTATGTTTCATCTTCAGTGACTTCACCTATATTTCATCCCCTTCTGTTCACAAAGACATTAAAGCACTTGACTGACAGCCTCTGAGCTAGCCTGCAGAAATCTGCAGCAAAGGAAAAGGTGTCCTTTGCATCTATGACTCTCTCTCTCTCTCTCTCTCTCTCTCTCAGGCTCTGACTCTCTCTTTCACACACACACACTCACCCCTCAAGTTAGAAAGCCTGGGTTTGAATGTTAAGATCTTCGTTTGTTCTTGACAACACAATGTAGAACAAGAAGGGCCTCTCTTTCCCAAAAGAGAACCTCAGATAGGATCCAGAGGAAAGGAAGTGGTGGGCCTGGGCTGTCTCTTAAAAATATCTCACAATGACACTTACTGAATTTCCTCAAATTCCATTTTTCTTGGAAGACAACAGTCCTGAAGGTGGATTGCAGGGGTCAGATGAAATGTGATTTTTAATCCTTGATGATGAGTTTCTCATCATGGAAACCCATGATAATAGACACTGGAAGGCACAGAAACTCCCTGTCGGCATTGAGTACTCCTTGCAGCATCTTACCAGGTTTTGTTTCTTGAATGTTCCAGATGCCTGGAGCAGAATAGTTTCCCTGAAGGTATCAGATGGATAATCAGATAAATCACCCTTTTTATAGCTCAAGCAAACCATTCTTTGTTGTAAGGCTCTGTGGCGCAATGGATAGCGCATTGGACTTCTAGTGTGTCTGAGAGAGATTCAAAGGTTGTGGGTTCGAGTCCCACCAGAGTCGTGGGTTTTTTGTGTGTCTGGGCCACTCTCTCACCAGTCACTTCACCACTCGTGGTGAGTAGGATCTCCTCCAAGTTTCATTTCTGCCCTCTGCTTTTTATGTGTGAGGAGCTTCTTCCTTCCCACAGTGTGTCTTTGGTAACTCAGAGAATGGACACACCTAGAGTATGAAAATGAGTACTAGTAACTGGGCTGTCATTAAGACAATTTCCAACTTGCTTTTCCCCAAGCTTTAGCTTGAGGAGTGTGGGCAACTTCAATGCTGCCTCTAAGAGTCACACAACAGCCACTTGATGAAGCCCCAGTTTTTGATATTCTTTCGTCTATATATTCTCTTCCCTGTATCATCCTTCCATAGAGAACCATTTAACAGTATTAAATGGTTACATTTTATTATCTTGCTTTCTTATAGAATATACAGTGTTTTGTAACTTGGATAGTTTGTAACTTTGCATATTTTAAATTGTTTTGTTACATAAATTACATTTTATATACATACCATTCCATATCTGTCTTTTTTTTTTAAAGATTTATTTATTCATACATACAAGAACAGGGATACAGGTCAGACTCGCAGCGGGTGAGAGGATTCACCAGAGACAGAGCGGGGAGCAGAACAGGCAGACTGAGTGAAATACACTGCTGAGGGGAGCAGCGGGCGAGACAGGGGAGGTCTGCTGCGCCATGTGAGCTTCTCGCTGGCTGGCCAGGATCGAACCCTCCCTGCAGAGCTTCACAGCTTCACAGCGCTGTGCTCAACCGCCTGTGCCACCAGGGGAGACCCCATTTCTGGCTTTTTCTATAACCACCATTATTTTACTTACGTGTCTTTAAGTGAGCAATATCTTACTTAAAGCAATATCTTGCTTTAAAAAATGATAGATTTTGGCTTTTTTATTCTCCCCACAGTTATCCTCTTATTTCCTGTCACAATAAATCATGCTACTCACCTCCATACGTCCCCTCAGAGACATCTGTGAAAATTTCCCTGGGTGTATCACCCATGGTATAATAGAGAATATGTTATACATTTGTATGGGGGGGAGTGATTAAGACCAGATTGCTATCCAGAAATAAAGAGCATTTTCAGCAAAATTAAGTAACCACAAAAAGTGGACTCTGTGGCATTAGCGGGCTTGGCCACCCAATAAAGTGCAATGTGACTTCACAGTAGTTTTGCGTCTCTCCTGTCAGTGATGACTCTGGGTGCTTCTTGGTTGTTATGGTTGCTGATTTTTTCCTGTAAACTCTTGTCAAGCACAAACTGTTCATCTCTGTTGCCTGCCCCCTAATTGTATTGGCTGCTTTTAATAGAAGGTTTACAGGCAATTTTTATGTATCAATACCTTACCAGTAGGAAATAACTTTCTTGTGATTCAGTAATGTCATACTTATTTTTACACCTCATAAGATGACCAAAGACTGTTTGGCTAATGATATATATGCTGTTAGCATCAAGCGCAAACAGCTCCAAAGAAGCACGGGCCTAAGGCATGTGGCGATGCAACAAGTTAAAGCCACTGTCTGGATGTCCTCCTGGAAAATCTATTTCCCTTCTTCCTTACGTGCCTCTCGGTGTGTCTCCTCACCACCTTTTTTGCCTTGTATGGTCAAGAACATTCAGCCCTTCATCTAAGAAGGTTCCAGGGCAGATGTGGCATTTCCTGAGTCCTGTCTTCCCCCTAGTGGCTGATGATGTGTAAGTTCTCCATGTCACACTACAGGGAGAGTTCCTTCCAATGCACATCTGTGAAAAGGGTGAGAAAAAGAACCCAGGAGATGGGGAAAACATTTTCCTCAAGCTGCTTTTCAGTCTGAATTCCCCTCCCCCCAACTCATCGAAATGAAATTCAGTTTTGGCAGGTGTTGTTTAATAGATCTGGATGAAATCCTTTGAACAAATCACTATTGAGCAAATAGAATGATAGATTTTATTTTATTATTTCTTTTTTTTAAAGATTAATTTACTTATTTATTTATTTTTTAAAGATTTATTCATTTATTTATACATGCACTGGGTACAGTCAGAAACGCTGGAGGGTGAGAGAATTCACCAGAGCCAGAGCGGGGAGCAGAGCAGGCAGAAGGACCGAAGTACACTGCTGAGGGGAGCAGCGGGCGACAGGAGGTCTGCGCACCACGTGGGACCCTCCTCTGGTGGCCGGGGAGCAGCCGGGGATCGAACCGGCGCTGCAGAGGCTGCGGGCAGCTTTGCAACCCAGCGCTCAACCGCTGCGCCACTGAGGAGGCCCTTATTTTATTATTTCTTAAAGATTTATTTATTTATACAAGAATTGGGGTACAGGCCAGAAGCACAGGAGGATGAGAGGATTCACCAGAGACAGAGTGGGGAACAGATCAGGCAGACTGACTGAAATACACTGCTGAGGGGAGCAGTGGGCGAGTCAGGAGAGGTCTGCCTCACCATGTGGGTTGCTCCCTGGCCGCCAGGGATCAAACTCGTGGTGCAGAGGCTGCGGATTTCTTCATAGTGCGGTGCTTAAGCCCTTGTGCCACCAGGGAGGCTCCCAGATGTGGTTTCTACAGTTGTTCCTTTTGTGTCAGAGGCATCTCTCTGTGAGAAGGTGAAAATTTTTTATTTTACATACCATGGGATGCTGAGCTCCCCAAATAAGACAAAAATCTTTCTTAGTAACTTCATGACCATTGATGAGAAGAACTTGCTAGCTCTGTTTGGTTGTTTTGGGAAACATAAAATGACTATGAAAAGACATGTGGACCCTAAGATGTTCCTTTTAACTGTTGTAATAGGTTATTGATGTTGACATGAATCTAACATCTGTCTTCCCTGTAATAGTCACACTCACCACTATACCAGGGAAGAAAGCTTTATTGGAAATCACTGTATTCACAGACAAAACAGGTACATGTCCACCTAGTGCAGTTAATTTTCTCTCTCTCTTCATAGGTAACGAACCATGTACACTGTGTCTTGGTTATTTTTTCCATTAGAAGTGTATTTTATCGCAGTATGTAAATGGGTATCTCATTCAATTTGTTAACTGTAGAGCCACCATCTGTGAATCTTCCAAAGTGAATTCAAAAGTCCATGACTCTTAGATTTTAATGACTGCTATTACACATAATCTGTAGTGACTATTAAAGTTCTTTCCACCTTCAGGATGTATCTCATGGATCCTCATCAGAGGCTGGCAGAGCAGAAGCAGATCTTGTTCGAAAATTTCTGAAAAGTCAGTTCTGAATATAAGGACTTACCAATCTGGTGCAACAGCATAGTCCTCTGCATGACATCAGGAGTAGGAAATGCTGATTTCACATACCCTTTCTAAGATGTCATCAGATTTTATAAGGGAAAGTAAATTTCAGCACTACTATTTTACTTTTAAAAGGCTCCACCTTGCTGTGTAGTCGTGGCCGAGTGGTTAAGGCGATGGACTAGAAATCCATTGGGGTTTCCCCGCGCAGGTTCGAATCCTGCCGACTACGGGTTAGTGGGGATGTTTTGATTCCCCCAACAACTTGGTTGGAAATTGGATTTGCAAATCCAAAGCCAACCAAGATTTAAGCTGTGGTACCTAAAATCTACCCACTTATAGTCACGGCTTTGCCTCACCTGCGGCTCTGTCCTTGGGGAGAATTCAAGGTACTGCATTGTCCAACACAGTTAAGTCTGACTTGACTCCGAATGTGGTTTGTTTCTCTCTAGGAAGAGTACAGACTCACCTTGATGTTTCCAACAATCAAAGTCCTTTTGCTTCTCGGTGGAATTGTTAGCTTTTCAGGGGGTTATTTTCTTGCACACCAATTGTTTTTCTTCTATCTCCCAGCACTCGATTTCATCTGATTGCTGTTCCTAGTTCATTCTCCATTTTTGACTCCTGGTCATAATGGCAGACCTCATAATGCGTGTCCTCACCACTGGGACATTGGTGAAGATATAGAGGGCCAAGAGACGCATGAAAAATAGTCAACATCACTAACCTGAGAGAAATACAAAATAACACCCCAATAATAAAACCATCTCATTACCTAGCACAATGGTAAAGTAAAAAATAGTGACAATCTAAATTCTGGTGAGGATGTGGGGAAACTGGATCACCCACACACTCACTAATAGTGGGAATTTAAAATGGTAAGTGGAGAATTAAAAGTACTCCGTTGTCATTGTCACTGTGAATTGACAATTTCTTATAAAAACTCAACGTGAAATTACCATGCAATCTAGTCATTGTCCTCTTTGGTATTTTTTCCAGAGAGTTAGAAGGTTATGTACCCACAAAAACCGTACATGATTTTCACAGCATCTTACCTTGTAATAATAGACCCCAACTATGAATAATTCAGATAACCAGGTGAATCAGTATCTCCATAGCATAAAAGTCAACTCAACAGCAAAAAGAAATGGACTATGGACAATTGCAACTACTTGGATGAATCTCCTGGATTTGATGCGAGAAACCACCCTCAGAAAGCTATATTTTTATGAGCTTATTTATAACAGCATTGTGGAAATGACTACATAAGAGAAATGAAGAACCAATTCCTGGTGAATGGTGTTAGGGAGGGAGTTGGAAAGATGTGGGTATGTTTATTAAAAAGGTAACAGAAGTGATTTGTTGGTGTGATGAAATTGTTCTGTGTCCAGCCTGTGGTGGTGGATGCATGGACCTGCACCTGTGATAAAAGTGCATAGAGCTAAAGTCCACCCTACACACAAAGGAGTAGACGGAAAATGCTATAAATAAGAGTAAGGTTACATCATTGGATTCTAATAATGGTCAATGTCAGTATGATCTTGGTTCTGCTCTTGCCAAGGTCCTAGTCAAACCAGTTCTTTGAGTTTCTCTTTTCTCAGAGAGCTCCGTGGGAATGGCCTCCTCATACTATACTTTAGGGACACTGGAATAAGACATGTGAGCCCAGCAGAACAAAGGGGTACCTAGTTGGTTAGAAGGTGATTGAAACCTCTCCTCAGCTCAGTTTCAACTCTACTCTGAGATCTCCACCAAGACGTCTTTGACCTGTGACATCTCTTTTGTGAGAAGAATGAAAAATTGAAGGGGAGCAAAGAAATCCTGTCTCTTAACTCTTATGAGTATTCCAAATCCTGCTGTAATTTAAGACTTTTCCCTCTTTGAATATCCTTTTCTTTGTTGTAACTGCCATTTAGAGATACTGGCCATCATAGGTATCTCAAGAATAGCATTTTATTTAGATGTCTTCTTCTTTTGGAAGACAGAGTTGCAGGAACAAGGAGTCAAAGATTCCTAAAATGTATGACAAAATTTACAAAACTAAAGATAGAGTTATAGTCACATTCATAGTTTAAATTTTAGCACAATACGCATCCTTCGTGAAAAAACGAGGGAAAAACAAATGTAGAAATTTCGAAGAATATAATTCTGGAATTTGACCTTGCTTATACAGAAATAACAATACAGCTTTCAACTTCTGAAGACAAAACAAGCACATGTGAAACCTTTAAAAAAAATAAAAACCAGACTTTTTGCTTCGATAGCTATAAAGCAAATTCTCAGAATATTAACAGTTTTAAGAGATAAATTTTAGTGTCTCGCCACAACACATTTTGCTGGATATCAATTAAAAATGGAAAATTATGATATGCTTGCACGATAAGAAATATGCATGTGATTTACAGGAGACATCTAGATGGGATGTTTGAACCATGCATATTGAAAAGAATGACATTGAAAAAATTCATGTGAAAGTTTATTTTGTGCTGCCCAAGATGCACCTATGTGGAAATTTAAACTCTTACTGCTTGTGCCAAAATAAAATAAAAGCTGAACAGGATTGATTTAATGATACATTGGAAGAATTTAGAATCATCAAACATTACTAAAGAAATCCTAGCGAAGGAAATAATGGAGAAAACAGTCGATTCAGTGCTTTAAAAAGAAACACAAAGCAGAGACAATCTATAAAACTGAAATTTTATCTGAAAAAAATTAGCTAAATTGATAAGAAGGCATCATAAATAACTTACCAGAAATGGGGGGAAGAGAATGTCAGGGCTAACAGTCTTTTTTTTTTAATATTTTATTTTATATAATACTTACATCATTTTTCATCTTTGTAGAATGTATGCATT